GGGGTCGACTGCGTAGCTGTCGGCGGTGTCTACATGTTCCTCCCCAAGTAACTTTATTCTGATGCCAAGTGCACGCTTGAATGACTCAGTAGCTGAGGAGTTCTCTCCCAGGTTGTGTTGGGTAACCCCCAGCTGAAAGTAGCTGTCGGCGGTGTCTACATGTTCCTCCCCAAGTAACTTTATTCTGATACCAAGTGCACGCTTGTGTGACTCAGCAGCTGAGGAGTACTCTCCCAGGTTGTATTGGGTAACCCCCAGCTGAAAGTAGCCGTAGGCGGTGTCTACATGTTCCTCCCCAAGTAACTTTATTCTGATACCAAGTGCACGCTTGAATGACTCAGCAGCTGAGGAGTACTCTGCCAGCTGGTGTTGGGTAACCCCCAGCTGACGGAAGCTGTCGGCGGTGTCTTTATGTTCCTCCCCAAGTAACTTTATTCTGATGCGAAGTGCACGCTTGTGTGACTCAGCAGCTGAGGAGTACTCTCCCAGGTGGTGTTGGGCAACCCCCAGCTGACGGTAGCTGTCGGCGATGTCTTTATGTTCCTCCCCAAGTAACTTTATTCTGATGCCAAGTGCACGCTTGTGTGACTCAGCAGCTGAGGAGTACTCTCTAAGTTTATATAGTTTAAATCCCAGCTGATGGTGGCTGTCTGCGGTTTTTGCATGTCCTTCGCCGAACAACTGTAACGTGATTGTAAGTGCATGTTGTGCTGAGTTGACGGCCTCTGCTGAGTTATTTATACACTCCTGAAGGTCTGCAAGTTGTAAATAACATTTCGCCAGTGCTTCTTTGTGTAGTTTAAGAATTGGGTTATTGCTTTCTCTGATCTTTTGTAGTGACTCCTGAAGATAGGTGATTCTTTCCTTGGCAACTGATACACCTTCCTCATTCTTATTTAGTAACATCAGCATACCGAGGGAGTATTCATGAAATTTGAACCAACCAAGCTGTGTCATTCCAGTTGCTGATTTAGTGTCTTCGAGAACTTTAAGCATCAAAGTACTGAAAAGTTCATTGATGTCGCGGGTGGATATTTCTCCTGTTACTAATTTAACAAGAGTCATGACTTCCATTTCAATTGGGTCGTTTGCTTTCTCTTTGAGTGGACTTTTCCTTTGCTCGTGCGCATCTAGTCTTTTTTCATTGACGTCAGGAATCATTAATAAATCAGTGTCTCCCACCTCCTTAACTTCTTGCAGCGCTCTGCCATAGAACATGGAGGACGTTTGGTGATCACTTTGGCTTTGATAAAAAACAGCAAGAATCTGAAAAGAAATGAGCCTTAGAACTTTGTGCTCAGGAGTGTTATTCATAAACTCAATAGCTTCTTGTAAACTTTGTACTCCATCCTGGGTCTTTCCCGTGACAAGTTTATGGATACCGAAGTAACATAAGTATTTTCCCTTATTACCGTCAAACCCGGTAGAGGTAGAACATTGGATTCGTTTGGCCTCCGCAAGCAGCTGTATCGCCCTTCTTTCATCTCCCCACATAATTTTTCCAAAGGCTTTGGACTGAAGTAGTTTCCCATGGAGATCTCTTCTTTCAACCTTATTGGCTGCAGTTATTGCTGAAAGGTAAATCTCTTCAAATTTAGCTTCCTCGTCCCAGTAGACGGTGTCAAGAAACATCTCTGATTTTACCAAAATGTTAAAGACTTTTTCCGCTGTCTTGCAGTCTGAACATCCATTAATTAGACTTTGAAAAATGCTCTTTTCATTCTCAAAGAACTCGATAAATGCTGTCATTGATTTTCCAGTAAGGAACATTTCATTTAATTTGTCAAACAAAGATATGAAGAAAGATAAAAAGCGAGTGTTTGCGAGTAGAATTGTTTCTTTCATGTCAAGCTCGCCTTTGTGCTTTGCGTACGACTGTAAAAGCTTGTGAATGGAGAACTCGT